AAAAAAAAAAAAAATATTGCAGGCAACACATTGTCCTTTAAGGGATTTTTTTTTTTAAAATGTATAGGAATATTTAGGAATAGTAATTCTGATTTTGTTTGGGAAACTTCTTTTCATGGGCTGGTGGAGTGGCTCAAGTGCTAAGAATGCCTGCCTAGCAAGTGTGAAGCTCTGAGTTCAAACACCAGTGCTGCCCAAAAAGAAACTTTTTTTTCAAAAGTAAAGGTCAAAAGTGTCCAGTTAAATTTCTTAACAGCCTTTTAAAAGAATTTTTATCTCACATACCAGCATAATGGGAGAGGGTGATTATGATCAAAATGCATTCATGTATGTATAAAAATGTCGTAATGGCACCCATTAAGATATGCTAATAACCCCTCCCCCCCCACAAAAAGCCCTTTTATCTTAATAGTTAATTCAGGCCAGTTTCATTGTGAGCAGTTCTACAGTAAGGCAGGCAGCACTGTGGTCCAGACAATTCTGGGCTCCTTTACATGCTCCCAGTAGCTCTACTGTGTGATTAATTATTGTGTAATAAGGGGTAACATGCAGTGCAGAATGCATACTCAGCACAACACACACACCCCTGCCCCGCCCCCCGAGTCAAACACTTAACACCTGTTCTGCGTGGAGGAGAAAGTCATCAGAGCTCCATCTTCCACTTGAAGTGGAGTTTAGTTCTTTTTGGAACATCACACTTGTACTACAGAAGTATCCTACTATAAAAGGAAATAGGAAGAAGTTGGCCTATACAGCACAAAGGGTCAGATTTGTAGAGCCCTGTTAACATTGCTGACATCCCATAGAGCTAGCCCTACTCCACAATTGTACTGTCACGTTGATCTAAGGACTTCTTTATTCTTTGTCCCAGACCATTTCCTCAGAGCTAGCTCCATTTAGTTTTTAGTTCTTCCAATAGGGAATTTTGCTTTGTAGTTTTTTAAGGACTACAAATCTTCCAAGCATTTAAGAATGCCTATGCATTGGTCCTAGGCCAGCAAGGAGACTTTAACTGTGCTCTTCAGACCCTTCATTTTCTTGCCAGGCTATATCTCAGTGGGGTTGGGTACCATGTTCTAAGTTAAAGAAGCTATTGTGAATATTGCTTTAAAACAGCTTGGTAAATATAGTGGACCTTACCTTTGGAAAAGTGATAAAGCATGTCTGTTAAGTGTAGTGCATGCTCTTAGTAAAGGCACTGTCTCTTAATATATTAATTCCTGGAACTGGCTGTTGAGTAATAGATTGTTCCTTTCCAAAGGGGACAGGTTAGATTGGATCTACCAACTTTCCAGTTACCTCTCCAAGGTTTGTTTCAGGTATAGCTTGAGATAGTATGTTGATTAGTTGCCCTGGCTGTTCTTATTTTTCTCTTCACAGCAAGGAGACATTCATTTATACACTGAATAATAGTCCTCGGTGTGAGGACTACCTGACTTACACAGGATAAGCTATGCTGGCCCGCAGCTCCTGTGGCTTCTATTGCAGCATTTCAATTAAACGCAGATAACTAAAGTGCTTTAGGCTTTGACCCCATCATGCCAAAATATGTCCACAGTGGATTCATAGAATGCCTGTTTTTGTGGAGTGTGTTTATGGCAAATCAAATTTGGTGTTTTAATTATATGTTTTGACTAAACCCTCAAACTATAAAAATTGTCAGGGACTTGGGTAAAGTTAGACAGTAGGAAATGTTTTAGGCTAACTTTGGAAAGCTGAGTGTGTTTCCTTCTCCTGTCTGCTTTTTTCTGCAGTGGGGAAAGTGCATTTTGAAAGCATTAGTGCTGCTTTCCCATCATGGGTAGATGGTATATGGAGGTGGCGTGCGGTGGCAGGAGTGTGCAGGCGTGAATCGCCTAGGGATGCCACAGACTGGTGTGGAAGGAGGGCTTGGTGTCACCAGCCCTAGATTAGGCATATTCTGGGGATCAACAGTGGTATCACACTTGGAGCAGTGAGGAATGAGAGTCCTGCTTATGCTTCTCATTAGTGGGCCTCAGAGTTTAATGACCACATCGTCCTTCAGGTTTTTCTTCGCAGCCTAGGTGAAGCAATCACGTATTTGTGTTTTCCTATAACAGTAGTAAAGTTTAAATTTTATTTTTTTTATTTTAGTTTCTATTTATCATGCATTAATAATACAGGGGGATTTCATTATGATAATTCCATAAGGCTGAAATTTCGTTATGGAGGAAGATAATACCTCAGAAGCTTCTTTTTCATGGCAACATCAAGAGTGTACTTCACTTAAATCCAGGCATGGTGGTACATGCCTGTAATCCCAGCACTTGGGAGGCTGAGGCAGAAAGATCCTGAATTTGAGGTCAGCTTGGGCCTGCTTGACCCTGTCTGAAAAAAAGAAAAAACAAAAAGCAAATACTTCACTTAGAGTACAGCCAGCCTGGTGAGAATGTTCTTATCCATTTGCTGGCTTTGTGTTGGATTTGCATTTAATGTCTTACTAGTATTCATGAATTCAGTAGACATTTGATTGCCTACTGTGTGCCAAACACAGAAGATAACAGTACTAACCAAGCCTGGCAACAGCCCCTGCTTCAGTGGAGGAGGATAAACAAATGAGTGAGGCTCACAGTGCTGCTGCGTGCTGTTCAGGCAGGGAGTTGGGAAACATGTGAATAGACAGATGCTTTAAAATTGGATGACCAAGGAAAACGTCACTGAGGGAGGTAACATTGTGGAGGCCTGAGGTTGGGGTTTCCCAGTGCGTGCAGGGACTGGCATGGTGTCTAGTGTGGCTATATCAGAGTAAGCAAGGGAGAAAATATAAAGGCAGGAAGCTGGAGAGGCACTGAACAACTGGAATTTGCATGACACTTTGTTTTTTGTTTTTTGGGTTTTTTTAGCAAGGTTTTGAACTAAATAGTGACATAATTTGATGTTCTTTTTTTTTCTTTTGGTACTGGGGTTTGAACTCAAGGCCTCATGCTTGCTAGGCAGGCACTCTACCACTTGAACTACACCCCCAGCCTTGATGTACATGTTGAGAACAGACTGTAGCCAGGCAGGAGTTAGGAGCAGGAGACTGGTGAGCTGCCTTGTTAGCACTGGCACAGGTGAGCAACAGTGGCCGGTACGCACTGGCGAGCTGGTGGTGGAGAGCGACTGGCATTTTAGGTTCAATTGTGAAGTAGGCTGGGGAGATGTGAGTGGGACAGGGGAGACAATGACTGACGTTTTAGCTAAAGAAGAGTATAGGTGGCATTTCCTGAGCTTGAGACACCTCAGAAGAAGAGTGAGGGCAAGCATACATCCAAAAGTGTGTTATAAACACCTGACTAGCAAATTCCCCTGTGTATTAATGAGATGGTGTTTAGCTCGTTTTATTAATGCTTTCAGATGGAATTATATGCGCAGAAGCAGTCACAGCTCCACTGGCATGCCTGTGAAGCTGTGTGCACCCTGTGCTAGCAACATTGACTGGCTAAAACTGGCTTGTTTTTAAGAGAAGAACGTTGTAAATACCTCCCAGGATTGCTGTGGGGAGCATGTGTTACAAAGGATGTGTAAGGGTGCCACATGTCTGCTCAGCAGAAGCTTCCTTTTCGTTAATGAGCTGGTACACTCTTGCTTTATAGGAAAAAGTATCCTGTGAGCACTTAAACATGCGAGTCCTCCAAGCAGCCACATTTCTTTAACTCTCTCATTCAGTTCAGCTGGCAAGAGAGTTGTTCTGTTTCCGTGCTCACCATGAGGTTGTACTCCAAAAACATACATTGGCTTAACATAACGTGCACTAGCTTGCTGTTTAAGTAACCCCCTAGAATGCAGTTGTTCCATAAGATGGAGTTGCCACAACCAGCAGTACTCTTCACCTCTGGCATCATCACCTACACCATCTCCCATGCCCTCATGTCTTCTCAGTAACTCTCCAGAGCTAATGTTGATTCAAGTAGGTGCCCTTCATTGACCACAACTCTTACCAGGTACAGTGCAAGTGCTTGTTTCTTAGGGAAGAAAGAGAGAGAAATCATTGGAAACATCATGCAAAGAGAAAAGGAGATGAATGTAAGTTAGGCAATGATTTAGGGAGAATCTCACAAGCCTTACTTCATACAGACCTATTTGGATTGTACTCTGAGCTTCTCGAACCAATGTTAGGACAACTTCTGAAGCAGAGCAGGCCAGTCCCTGTTAACTCCAGCTGATTAGGCACAGCCTCAAGAGTTGGCAGGTGGCAACTGCTCATGTCCTTCCTTAAAAACAGAACGCTTCCATGAAGAGTGCAGAATAAATAGAGAGTACAGTGTAAGTGACCATCAGAAGCAGAATGCTGCTTTCCAGACTTTTATGAGCACATTTATCACCTGCTGTATAGCAATTACTATTAGTGCTGTACTTAATTATTTGTATATCTTGACTTCTAATTAATATATTTCCCCCAATACTGTGTGATGTTTACAGATTCAGAAATCATTTTATCATGAATTGGTTAGAGTTTGTGTTTGTGGTTTTCTTAATGACTGAGTTGGCTATACATTCTGTGATAAGGGCACATTTTCAGGGGCAGAAGATTTGGGCCTTTTTGTGAGCTGGGAAGTATCAAGTTGTAACATGACCAATTCTTTCTTAGTGTGGGCAGGAAAGTTAAGAATTTTAAGTGAAACGGTTATATTTAAACCCGACCTTTCTAGTGGCTCATTAGTAATCCCTTGGGATTATTTTTATCTGCTCCTTTGCTTTTGCCTTCCCCTTTGTCAGTATTTAATTGGAGGTAATTATCAAAGGTAATCATTAAAATATAGTGACTGGTCTCCCTTTTGAGTGTGGTCTCCCCTTTGAGTGTCATGCTAGTGATGAGGAGTGATACCACAGAGGTGGGCAGCAGCAGGCATGTGGTCAGACTGAGGAAAGTTTGTTCTCCATGATTGGGTGGGTTCAGAACTTTACTGGTACTTCTGGGGTTTTTATTATACATTGAGAAAACTGAATATGATTTTTTTCCATAAAAATGCTGATACAAATGTCCAAAACTTTTCTATGTTAAATAGTTTTTTACATTTTTATGCATATAGGTTACAACCTGCCATATTCATTCATCCAGTGATGATGAAATTGACTTTAAAGAAACGGGTTTCTCACAGGATTCCTCTTTGCAGCAAGTGAGTCACGCCTAAAGCTTTGCTCTTTATTTCTATTTTAAATGCTTAGTTTAGTTGTCATTTGTGAATCAGTTTCGGAAACAGATTATATACAGAATGTAATTTGGGGTTATTTATTAGTTAGACAAATGATGTTTAAAAGAGGAAGGTTGGGTACATGACAGGTAGGTTTATATTGATATATTCGCATGGAATAGTTCATATCTGGTAACAGTGAGTAATGTAAATTTCAGGAGAGTTGAATGAGCAGAATAGTTAGCAAGTCATCTCACACATGCTCATTCTGCCAATTTGTACAAGATGAGTTGTTACTTAAATAGATTTGTGTAGCAGAGGCCTTGGTGAGAATAACAGAAATAAGACTAAAAAATGCGTGAACTTTCACCAACATTTCTGACCCAGACGGCTTATTGAAATGATCCTTCTCCTGTTAATGCTGTATCTAAATTAAATTTTAGTTGAAGTAATCTATTGCCACCCCTACCTTTCTGCCCCAAATTCATCTCCATCTGCAACTTTTAATCTTGTGCAAGAGGAAAAAAAAAAAACAGGCTATAAAAAATGTGTACTAATTTGTCATCTCTTGGTGGTTCTTGGGACAGTGAGGAATGAGTTTTACATTTCTACTGGGTATCAAGTTTGGGAGCTCAAAATTCAAGCCCTTTAGCAAGTGATCAGCTGTTCATATGGGGAAGTTGTCGGTAGCCATTCTGGACCTGGGATATAAAGTACTTTGGTGTGGCAGTACAACTAAGGAAATACCTTCCCACCCTGCACAGAGTGTTGCTTGGCTTTTTCCCTGTAAGTCTCGGCCTCATCCTTTGGCCAAGGTGAAACTTCTGGTGATCATGCAGCTCTGTCTTCTAGCTTCACTTTGCATGTCTGTCATCCTCCAGTATTGGTGGAGCTAAGCAGTTGCTTTGTGCTGACAGGAAGGTAGTTTAGCGTTCAACTTTCCCAGACATTTCAGGACTTGGCAGGCCTCTCTTGATTCTTGACACCAGGTGCCATTTGGCAGCAAATCTCCTGAGCTTAGAGTCAGGGAGCAGCAGACTCAGTAGGGGTGCTGCTGAGGAGGGGAAGTACCTTTTTGAAAAGTACACACCTAGCTTTTCAGGCAGCACTACCACAGTGACCCAACATGACTAATTGTGAGCTCTCTGCTACTGCCCAAGGAAGCGCTTAGACAAGGGCCTCTCCACTGAAGCACTGCAGAGTACTGAAATAGTCAGCCAGGCTGAACCCAAACGCTACACATTGTTCCACCCTAAAATAAATCTTGATAACATCAAACGTCAAGTGAAATCTAGTTTAAGGAAAATGTTGTCCTATCATCTATTTGAAAATACGTTAGTAAACCTGGAACTTCCAGCTTTTATTTCCCCTGCGTTTTTGCAGTGCTGGAGATAGAACTTGGACCCTTGCATGTGCTGCACTGCTGAGCTGCAGCCCCAGCCCTGGACTTCAAGCTGTCCATTCAATACAGAAATAGTTACACTTTAGGCCTCTTTTCTACATGGACCCCTTAATTATCACGCTTTCTGGTTCCAGGATTATGTCTATTGTGGGGAAAGTTTTCAGACATTATTTTTTCTTGTTTGACTCACTGCTAGTGTACATGTATGGAGTAATCAAATCCTCACCAAGCTCCTAGTCATAGGGATTTTATCTACTTCCCACAAGCAGGAAGAATAATTTCCCTTTTCTAACTAATAGCCTTCCATTAAACTTTTCTTTGCATATTTAAACCATAAACCAATCATGGGTTATTTTGAAAATAAGAAATGTAACTCAGAACCAGACACAGTGGCTCACTGCTATAATCCCAACTATGCAGGAGGTAGAGATCAGGAGGATTGAGGTTTGAAGCCAGCCCAGGCAAAAAGTTTGTGAGACACACCATCTCAATCAATCAAAGCTGGATGTCGTGGTATACACCTGTCATACTAGCTCTGCAGTAAGTGTAACTAGGAGAATCATCAATTGGGAGGGCAGCCCAGGCACAAACCTAAGACCCTATTTGAGAAATACCTTTGAAAAAAAGGGCTGGAAAGCATGGCTCAAGTGGCAGAGTTCCTGCTTAAAGTTCTCTTTCACATTTGAAGTTGGACCTCATATTGACAAAGCCTCTGAGTGTGGAGCGCTTAGGACAGGTCATTAAACAAAGTACCTTACCCATGTCACAGATGGGGCCGTATACATTGTGGGGAACGCCTCACAACGTTTGTGCCCCTGCCCATTTTGTTCTGTCCCTAGTCCTTTCTGGTTTCCTAACATCCAGTGCTTGGCTCCTCACCCCCTAATTGTCCTACAGAGTGGGGGGAGAGGGTGCTCTCCCTTATAGTGTCTAGAAAATTTGGGTGACACCCACTGTTGGGCCCTAGCGACCATCTGACACCTCCACCCCCATCACACATAGGCTTGTGATAGGCACTCAGGTCAAATTGAGTTCACAGTGGTTTCTATGGCCAACATAGCAGTCCTGGTAGAGACTTGCTCAATAAAGTAGTTGCCTCACTTGTCCGTGCTGTCAGTGGTCCCAGTGGTCCCCGGCCTTGGCCAGGAGGACAGCACTGGAATGTGCACTTTCTTAATAATCATCACCACCATGTACACTTTCCAAATGTGGATTTCTCCAGGCTCTAAGTACTTTTAATACAGAGTACAATTAAGTTTTCACTTACGTGGGTCTGTAAGCTCTTACAGCTTTAAGTTAAGTCAGGTTTGGAATACAAAGCTTTTTACTAGTTCGTGTCTTCCTGGAAGGGGTAGTAGACACAGAGCTAATGAGGACTATAGTTAATCATTTTTCCTTCTTCTCTGCACTATTGCACAAAGTTCATAGAGTCTGTCAGTTGCTATTATATTTTTGTCTAGATCAACAGATAGAATGAAGGTAGATATGTGTGTGTACATATGGGTGTATGTCTGTATATGTATATCTATGTACATATACGCATGCATACATTTGTAATATATTTACTATGCATTCTGTTACCGAAGCATCTAAAGTGTCAAACACTTCTTGGAACATTTCTTTTCCTTTATGCCCAAAAGAATCACGGAATGATCAATAATGGAACAAAAAAATCTAAAGAAAGAAAAAAAAAATCAAAACAACTTGGAGGGACCCTCCCCGTTAGTGACCAAATTTCTAGTCTAGATAAATTCAGAGCCTCTCTGTGCTGCTTGCTTGGCAGAAGAACTGAATAGCTCCTTAGGACATCTTGGCAGTACCAAGCATCCATTTTACCTCATGAGAGATAAGGCTGTTACAATTCAGAGGAGTTGGTTTCTTTCTTTTCGATACATTGAATTTGAAGGCTGTGTATCATATTTTCTGTTCATATGCCCAAAATCCAGCCCATCACCTGGAACTTGTTCCTGCCCTTCTTCTTTGGCCCAGATTCCCAAAACTCTGCCTTTGATACACTCCAGGCCTTCCCCAGTGCAGTCCTGCAAAGCCACTGCATCTGGAGATAAATTGTGAACAATGGCCCTGCTGCCGGTTACCCTGACCCCATGCCCCCATGTCATCTCTGTGAGCCAGAAAGGAAACAGCATGGAGGTATGAGTGAACAGAGGGTGTAGGTGAGAGGGAATTGCAATTTGGATCCTCTCTGTCTAGCCATATTAGATGAAACTTTTTTCAGACCTCAGCAAGAGATACCTTCCAAAGCCAAATATAAGGTTTATTTTTTAATTACCTGCAATTTGGATTATCTATGCCATAATTCCCTGCCACCAGAATGAGTCATCATTAACTGTAGATGAATTTCTGCAGTGGGCATCTACAAGTTGGATTATGTGCTCTGTACAGATGTGGGTTCAAGGTCAAGTCTGTTGACTTAGTACAGCTGCTTCCTTCTCAGCAAGTGGCTGTGGAATAAAGCTTCAGTTCAGCAAGCACTGCTGCTGCTGCCCCTTGTGGGTTCACCTGTGGGAAACGGTGGCCTATTCATGTGGAACACACACAGGGTCATTTGGCCCCTATGATTGATTATCTGGGTGACAACGAGGAGGCAGCACTTGCTTGTCTTCATTCCTTCTGATCATTGGTTAACTGTTTGCTTAAAATTAGACTCACCATTTTTGTAGAGTCCAGTGTAACATTCCCCATGTTTCAACCAAGAAGACCCTCCTGAGCCTGGTGCTTACTAGAATGGTGTAAGGAAACACCTCCTGTGTGGGCTTAATGTCCTAGGCTTTTGAGTGGTTTCAGATGAGGTTAAACTTTCTGTCCAGTCCTTAAGGTAGGCAGTATAGAAGTTCCTTCTGTCTCAGACACTTCCCAGTCTCAAAGACTTTAATCAACATTTTATTTGTAGAATCACAATTGTATTCATCAGTCATTCTTCCTCTGGTGCTGTTTTGGTGTGATGAATTGGGAGGGGGTGACAGAAGGTGATGGTTGGGTGGGCGGTCAGTGCTTGTTGGTTGTGTCTAGAGGTGATGAATGCACCTTATAATTTCAGACTGTTAAATGTCTCGATCACTTCTTCAAACTCAGCTTAACCCAAACCTCTCTAAAGATTATTTACAGTAGAGGACACTGTAGTCACTTATCATTTCTTAACAGTGGTATGTGTATTAGAACAATTTGTAGACCAAATTTCAAACATTTCTTTTTTTTTTTTTGCAAAATGTGTCTGAAATTATTTGATTTTTTTTTAAAAAAGAAACACACCAACTTTTAAAGTCATATGACTGTGAGATAGGTGATTTCTGAAGCACAAGTGGGCAGATAGTATGTAGAATGTCCTTAGAATCACGATATCACTGTCACTGGTCCTGGGGTTGCCAGGCCTTTTCTGATTATCAGATGCAACAAATGACGTCCAATTTTATTGACCAGTTTGGCTTCAACGATGAGAAGTTTGCAGATCAAGATGACATTGGCAAGTGAGTATGTTTTCCTGTCTCTGTAATTGTCCCCTGCACTCCTCTTTGTGACACATTTTTGTAATTCTGCTGGATTCTTTGGCATTCCTGAGTTAGGAGGAACCTACCTTCCCTGGTGGTTCTTTAGCTCCACTGCATGGAGTCCTGCGACTGGGCAATCAGGACAGTTAGCTAAACTTAAAACATTACTCCTTGGACTTGATCTCTTTCACAGAGCTTTATTTTTAATCACCCCTTATTATTTAATTTATTTGATGTTATTTATTTTTTGAGATGAGGTTCTCACTATATTGCCCGGCCTGGTCTCAAACTCATGAGCTCAAGTGATGTTCTCCCCTTAGCCTCTGGAGCATGTGCCATCATGCTTGACCTCAAATGATCCTTTTTGGAGGCTGAGTCATCATTCTGCTCTTGTCAGTAGTGTTTAGTAGCATTGCCTTAAGTAACTAATCCCCATGTTCACTACTGGTCTGAGGCGAGGTCGTGATGGGCCATTGCACTCTGGCAGGTGACTGAGTTGGCAGGAGTAGCTCTGCCTGTGTGTTCTCTGTTCTGGGGAACTCATCATAAGGAGATGTAGGTTTGTGTAAGAGAGGCACAGCATGGGAATTACAGTACTGTACAGGATTAGGTACTTCACAGGAATGAGAACCAATGGTCCAGCAGCTGACTAGGGAAAAGCAGAGAAATATACAAAGAGAGGTGAAGGGGAAATTGTAGTATCTAGGATTTAAATCTTGAGTGTGATAATCAGTCCTTGTGCCTGTGAACACACAGTGTCTGCTGTGGTGCCTTGCAGCAGTCATTTTTCAATAATTTGTTGAACATTGAAGGCTGTTGTTTATTACAAATTTCAGTTTACAGTATATGAGAAGCTAAAATATTTTTACAGCACACTCTGTGCCGTAAACATGCTGTATTGGCACAGTGGGATGGAGACTCCACTGCGAATAGCAGGAGTTGAGCACTGACAGCTGCCATAAGGATTGGCTCATCTAAATCCAGAAAGAGCAAGGGCACTCCACAAAAGAGATTCTTCCCGAGATTAGATCCGCACCTCAAACCTGCAAGGTCCCCACTTGACATTTTGGAATTTTCCTGTCTAGATTCTCACTAAGTGTTACTAGTTAGAAATCCATAATCTCCTTGGTGCTTGGAATAGTGATCGATTAGAACAGATTGGTTAATAATTATACCATAGCCCTACCTGTTCAGAAATTAATTAATTGGCCATGGGTTCATTTGCTCCTTTATTGCTTCTGGATTATGCCTTGTTAGGACATCAGATTTCAGGGATGCCTGTGTATTTTGGGTATGAATTTGACTATAACTAGAGAAAGTCTGGTGTTGGGCAACATTTTTGCACTTTTTCATATTTTGACTTGGTTTTTCTTTGCAAATATTTTAACTAAGTATTTTCTTAGTTATTACTATGGTTTTTGGAACCATGGTTGTCACCTAAGATGTTACAGATCCTTTATAGGAAGGCTTATAGGGTGCCTGCCTACATCTCCAAAGGCTTCCTCCCACTCCTGCCCTTTCATTTCTTAATGCCAGGGGAGGTGGCATCATTTGATACATGAAGACTGTTTTTGTTGATTACTAATAGGAGTTGTAATGATACTATAAATATTTTAAGTTTTGAACAGTTTATGAATACTGTTTATAGGAGCCTAGAGATAAGATGATTAATAATTCTTATCTTTTGTTTATAGTGTTTCTTTTGATCGAGTATCAGACATCAACTTTACTCTCAATACAAATGAAAGTGTAAGTATATGTGTTCCTGTTGAGCAAAATGGCATTGGAGAAGTGGAGAGGTGGAAGACTGGAATTGGGTTGTGCTGGAGCTGGAATGTGGTTGCCCTTGTGCCCTAGGATCCTCTGTACTCACATCCTAGAGCTATGTCACATATGTCATCCACTCATAATGCCTCCCTTATCCCTGTGGGTATGAGTTCACAGCCCTGACTTAAGATGTGACCAAGCTAATAAACCCAGGGCCACTTGTTATGGCAGTGTAGACATTTGGCCTCAAATAGAAAACTGTAGTTTGTCCCCTTTCTGTTGCCTTGAAAGAAAGTTGGGCTACATCAGGGACAGCCCTCTACCAGGCTTCTCTGGTGACACCAAGACAATTCAAGTGGGCACAGTCTTGACTTTAGGTTGGCTAGCATGAGAGACCTCTGGTTTATTGCTGAGCCTCATCAGCTCATCACTGCTTAGCTGGACTGGTAAAATCAAAGACAGGTCTCCTTGTTGGACAGATCTGGAACTGCATCCCTGGAGCAGAGGAAGTTCTTGGGATTAAACTGGCATTTGACAAAGACAAAGTGAATTAACGAGAAGAATGTGGACCAGGATTCCCATGTGCTCATTGTGAGCGCAGTATTTTTAAGGAACTTTGTATCATTTACACGGAAGATAACATTTGATGCTTTTTACTTTTTTGATTTTATTTTGGTGTATGTGATAGGCACCACTTTTACAGCAAATGGAAAAATGCAATTTACTTTGGTAACTTTGAGGAGAAAATAACTTACTTTAAATTTGTGTTTTTGTGTTACTCTTTTTCTCATTTTTGTTTTTATTTAGGGAAATATTGCCCTGTTTGAAGCATGCTGTAAGGAAAGAATACAGCAGTTTGATGATGGTGGCTCTGATGAGGAGGATATCTGGGAGGAAAAGCACATTGCATTTACACCAGAATCCCAAAGAAGATCCAGGTAAAAGATAGTTCTTTATGTTACAATTACAGGCACTCTACAAGGTAGTTGATTGTCATTACACATGCAGTTGAGTTGTCATGGAGATGTGTCTAACCAAGAGACCAGTGCTTTTGTTCTGACCAGAAGAAATGTCTTTATGCGGTTCTCCTGCCTGAGTATGACAGCAAAATGATGTGCTTTAAAAAATACTGCTAGTGTTCAGGCATTGTGAAATGTGGCCCAGTATCTTGTGAGTGGAAAATGATGGTGAGAAATGTATCACTTGGGCTATGTGAATGGTTCTCTCGTCAGTGATAATAACAGCTGAATTATATATTGTCTCAAATTATTTCTCAAAGATGATCTATCTTGAAAGACAAGGTCTTGTCTGCTGATATCATCTGGGTCAATCCAGTGTTTTTTAAATCACTGTTATCATAAGAACCTAAATAGATTATGCTTCTACATGCAGAGTTCTTGTTACAAGAGTATTTGTTATCAGAATCTGCATAGTTAAAAGAGAAGTCTTGACCCTGTCACCCTGACTCACTTCTGTGATCCTAGCAACTTGGCAGGTAAATAGTCAGAGGATCATGGTTCAAGGGTATCCTGGGCAAAAAGTTTGCAAGACCCCATCTCAACTAATGGCTGTGCACGGTGGTGCCACCTGACATCCTAGCTGCACAGGAAATATAAGAGGCTCAGGGGCTAGGCCTGCCTGGGCAAAAAGTGAGACGGGCAACAGTGGTAGAATGCCTGCATGGTAAGCACAAGACCCTGAGTTCTTCCCAGAATACCACCTAAGAAAAAGAAGGCTGAGTGACAACAGATGAACTTTCATTTTTTAACTAATTTTTAATAAGTAATGTTTTCACATGGCATGAAATTCAAAGGGAACAAAAAGCATGTAAAATGAAAAGTTAAATCTCGTACTATCTCCCAGGCATCCAGGTCCTCTTGCTGGATAGAGTCTGTCAGAGGTGCGTTTCCCTGCACACGCCAGCAGTTATGTTCTCCTAAGAGTGCAATATCTGCTGCTGCAGGTTTCGAAAGAGTCAGCAGTGGCTTAAGCAAGAGAAAGCACTCTTTTTCCCTTGAGAGCCGATGGCAGAGTTTAACAGGCTTTTTAGACTCAGCTTCTTTCATTTACTCCCGCTCTGTCATCTTCTGCATGTTGACTTACACAACAAGATGGCTGTTGTGGCTTTGGGGCCAGGCAACAAGAGATAAATATCTTCACAGTGACTTTTTAAAGGCAAAGATCCAATCAGACTCGTGTGTCACCATTTACTACGACGTACTAGCCCTTGCGTTGAGTGAATTCACCAAATGGCCATTGTCTTCTGCCATTTTTCCTTTAGAGTCAGGCTGGCCTCGTGTTCTTGGAGAAATGCAGTATCTCCTTCCAGAATACCACCACATGTACAGAGCATGCAGGGAAGATGTCCTTGGGAGATGGCACTTACACCCAGAGGGAACACAGGGTGCAGAGAGAGCAGATTTTTGTTTATCTAACAGCTCTACTGAGATATGCAACTGGCATATAAAAACTGCATATTTACAAATTGTTCAGTGTGGTGAGCTTCAGCAGCTGAGACCATAGGCTTACCCTTCACCACTCAAGCATTCTCAGACCTCTTTAAAATCTTCTTCCCGTCACTATCTGCCATGTCCTGTAGATTCATTTGCCTTTTCCAGAGTTGCATAAGTGCTACCATGTATGACACACTTTTTGTCTAGCTTCTTACGCAGCATAATTTTACTTTGAGAGCCATCATGTTATCTAACATATAATACATATGTATTTGTTTGTTTGTTTGTTTTGTTTTGTTTTGCAGTACTGGGGTTTGAACTCCAGAGTTTGTGCTTGCTAGGCAGGCACTCTGCCACTTAAGCCACAACCCCAGCCTGCCTTATATATTAATAGTGCATTTGTTTATTGGTGAGTAGTATTCCATTAAATGGATGTATTATAATTTGTATATTCATTTTCCTGTTGAAACATTGGGTTGTTTCTGACTTCAGCCTATAATATCACTCAAAGATTGGCTGTGACGAGTTAAAGGTGCATATACTAAAAAACCCCAACACAATCCCTGAAACACAGAAGCCAAAAAGGAAATAAAGCATTTAAAAATTCCAAATGCAGACAGAAAAAGAGAGCAGAGGGTAGTCGAGGCAAACAAAAGTAACAATGAGATGATAGAACTAACCTTATGAAGCTCTGTTAAATTAACAATCCAGATATCCACAGTACGGAGTAGAGGAACTGGGGGTAGAGCGCAGTAGTGGAGCACTTGTGCAAGGCCCTGGGTTCAGTCCACAGCACCAAAAGTAATTTAAATAAATAAATAAATAGCAAAGATTGTCAAATTGAATTTAGACATAAGGCCTAGTTTCATGCATCCATAAGAAACATTTAAATGTATAGACTAATAGGTTAAACCATATCAACATAATAAAAAAATGAGCCAAGATGTCAGTTCCATTCATGAAGAGAACATAACATCATATGGAAAAATAAAAGAGTTGGAATAGTAAAAATAATCCTAAGCAAAAAGAGCAATACGTACTTCAAATTATACACCAAAGCAGCATGGCACTGGCACAAAAACAGACTGGAAAGACCAGTGGGATAGAACAGAAGAGTCAAAAATAAATGCATATAGCTTTAGCCGTCTCATGTTTGGCAAAGGAACCAAAAAGCATACATTGGAGAAAAGATGGCTTCTTCAACAAATGGAAGACCAAAACCAGACCCATCTCCCACCTGTACAAAATCAACTCAAAATGGATCCAAGATCTCAATATAAGATCTGAAACTTCAAAACTCCCATGAGAAAACACTGAAAAGATACAGGTATAGGCAGGTTTTTGTTTGTTTGGTTTGTTTTTGTTGGTAGTATGGAGTTTGAACTCAGGGCCTCACACTTGCTACACAGGCTTTCTACCACTTGTGTCATTCTGCCATCCCGGCAATTATTTTCTGAATAGGACTTCAGTCGCCCAAGTAATAAGAGCATGAATTGACAAATGGGATTGCATCAAACTTCTTTTTGCATGAAAGGAAATGATTACTAGAATGAAGAGACAACCACAGAATGAGAGAAAATCTTCCCCAGCTATTCAACAGATAAAGGATTAAGATCCAGAAGAACAGCACAATTACCCAATTAATAAATAGGCAAATGAATTGAACAGACAGCTCTCAGAAGTACAAATGGCTAATAAATACATGAAGAAATACTTAACATTCTTTAGCCATAAAGGAAAGACAAATCAAAACTCCGCTGCTTTCTTCTCACCCCAGTTCAATGGCTGTCTTCAAGAAAATAACAAGAAATTCTGATGAGGATACAGGGAAAAGGTAATGCTCCTACACTGTTCATAGGAGTTTAAATTAGTGAAACCACTGGAAATCAGCAGAGAGGTTCATCAAAAATCTAAAAATAGAACTACTCTATGACCCTGTTATACCAGTTGGGCATATAACTAAAGGAGTGTAAATTAACATACAAGAGAGACATGTGCTGCACTGTTCACGGTGCCCAACACCAATGAGTGGATTAAGAAAGTGTGGTACGTGTACACACAATGGAGTGTTACTCAGCCATAAAGAATAATAAAATGACTTCATTTGCAGGGAAAGGGATGGAACTGGAGATAATCATGTTGTGTGAGATAAGCCAAACTGAAAAGGCCAAATAACACATGTGTTCACTCATGTGTGGAATCTAGACCTCAAATGATAACAGTAATAATGGGAAATGAGTCTAAAGGGGGAATCAACAGGAGGTGGGAGGGGGAAAAGAGAAGGTACTGCAGGGTGAATAGGACCAAAGAACATCTCTCGCTCTCACTGCCCCCCTCACTCACATGTGCATCATGAGCCCCACAAAATACTGTTTGAAAAAGGGGAGGGAGGGACTAAGTGAATATAATAGAGGGGTGAACTATTTCAAAGTATACCGTATGCATCTTTGGAATTGTCACAATGCAACCCCTTGTTCTGTTAATACATGCCAATAATTTAAAAAACTGCCTACATACCTAATGGGAAATCCTCAAATACATGGAAACTGAGTAACACATGGGTCTAAAGAAATCAAAGGGGAAAATTTTCTCAGTACTTTGAATCAAAAGAATTTGGGGGATGCAGCTAAAATAGTATTTAGAGAATTGCACTAATTGACTGTATTAGAAATAAAGAAACCTCTAAAAGTATCAGTGTTCTCAGCTTCATTAAGAAACTAGAATGGAGAAAATTAAACACAAATAAGCAGAAAGATACCCTGTCTGAAAGATACCCAAACTGAACGTGATGGTGCACACCAGTCATCCAGTATACACAGAAGACTAGGCAGGATTGCAGTGCACAGCCAGCCTTGGGCAAGAGGCAAAACCCTATCTAAAAAACAACCTCAAAGCAAAAAAGGCTCAGGGCATGGCTCAAGTGATAGAGGACCTGCCTAACAAATGCAGGGCCCTGAACTTAAACCCCAGTGCACAAAACAAAGAAAAAAGTAGCTTAGAGTGAAATACAAACAATCAAGAAAATGAGTAACCTCAAAAGTTGCTCTTTGAGAAGATCAATAAACTTCTAGCTAGAATGATCAGGAAAAAAGGTATGAATTACTAATATAGAAATGAAAGAGCTGACATCAGTCTAGATTCCACAGATATAAGAATGATTTAAGATAAGGGAATACAGCTCTATGCCAATAAATCTGACATTGTAAAAGATCTTTGAAAGAAAAGACCAAAATCAAGCAAAAAAAAAAAAAAGGGGAGAGGGGTGTAAAGGAGAAAGATGAAAGGGGAGAATTTAATAAGATGTATCGTAAGCACTTCCATAAATGTCACAATGTACCCCTTGTACAACTATAATATGCTAATAAGAAAAAGGAAAAAAAAGAACAAAAAAAGATAACCTAAGTAGTCTGGTGTCTATTAAGGAAGTTGAATTTCTACTTTCAAACTTCCCACCAAGATGTAAAAATTCCAGGCCCAAGTGACTTCACTGATGAATGTGAGCAAACATTTTAGGAAGAAATTTGACCACTTTTAGATACAAACTTCTAGAATATTGAAAGTAAAGAATATTACCCATCTAATTCTATGAGGCCACATCAGTATATCCAGATACCAAAATTTGATAATATTTTACAAAAGAAGAAAACTGGGTAATAGTTTTCATGAATATATATAAAGAAACTCCTTTAAAAGTTTTAAGCAGATCAAAAATGGCAATATGGCATGACCTAGGTTTATTCCAGTAATACAGAATTGCTTTAACATCCTAACATCTATCAGTGGGTGCGTGACCAAACCCAGCATCTATCCCTGATAAAAACTCAGCAAAGTAGAAATGGAAAGTATTTGTAAAAACCACACCGTATCATGCTTCACAGTAAAGGCCCTGGTTCAGGTACCCTGTTCAAAGGTGTCCAATCTCATAACTTCTCACTATTACATTGGGATTCTAGCTATAATAATCCCAATAAATAAAGATAAACAAAAAACAGACAACATGACCATTGACGTAGAACATTTGCTGGAACATACAAAAAGACTTCTAGAACAATTAAAATGAATTTAGCAAGGTTGCACAGTACAAGAGCAATATAATTGTATTCATTGAAGCACCAAAAATACTAAATAAAGGGGATAAATCTGAGAAAAGATCTACAAGATCTCTATACCAAAATCTGTAATACATGGCTGAGAGAAACTAAAAGACCACGAATGTTTATGAATTGGAAGGCAATATTGTTACAGTTCCAATTCCCCACCTTGATCCATAATCCCCAACAAGATGCTAAGAAGCTTTTTTCAGGTGCTACTTACAGTTTGGTTCTTATACCCATATAGAAATGCAAAGGACCTAGAATAGCCAAACTCGCTTTCCTGGACACTGGTGGCTCACGCGTGTAATCCCAAATGCTCAGGAGATCAGGAGGATCGCAGTTGGAAACCAGCCTGAACAAATAGTTCTCAAGACCCTATCTTGAAAATACCTGCAACAAAAGGGCTGGTGATGTGACTCAGGGTGTAGGCCCTGAGTTCAAACCCCAGTACCAAAAAAAAGAACAAAATTGGAGGGCTGTCACTACTTGATTTGTAGGCACTGTAATTGAGGCTGTGTGATACTTACAAGAAGATAAGGAATGGGTCAGTGGGACAAGAATAGGTAGCCCAAGGTGGCTAGCCCACCTTGCATGTGGACAACTGTTGGGAGGAGGGGTTGTTGTTTATTTGTTTGTTTTTGACAGTACTAGGGTTTGAACTCAGGGCTCCATGCTTATTAGTCATGCGTTCTATTGCTTGAGCCAAGCCTCCAGTCCAACAACTGATTTTTGATGGAGGTGCAAAGGCAATTCACTGGTGCTGGAACAATGATCTTCGGTTGCAAGGTGACCTTCAGTCAGTCTTCTTACCCTATACTCAGCATTGTCTCACAATGAGTCTTAGGTCTGCGAAACGTGAAGCTAATGCTGCTACAAGAAGATGCAGAGCACCTCTGACGTTGGGCCAAGCAGAGATTTCTTAGATTCGTCATCATTAAAGCACAGTACATGAAAAAAGTTAGCTGAACTTCATCGAAATCTAAACCTTTACTCTTCAAGAGACACAAGGGAATAAAAGGACAACGGGGAGACGATTTATTTTGTGTTGTTTGTTTTGGGACAGTTCTCATATGTGTTCTGGCCTGGCCTCAAACTCAGAATCCTCCTGCCTCTGCCTCCAAAGTGCTGGGATTGCAGGCATTTCAGGTACATGCCCAGCTGAGACAAAACATTTAAAATAATAATCTGGTCAGGAACTTGTACATGGAGTTACAAAGTCTCTTTGCCCAATTTAAATTTTTGCAAAAAGACAGGTTGGGAGGATCATGAATTAAGGCCAGCCCAGGCAAAATTAGCCTGAGACCATATCTGCAAACCAAACTAAAGCTGGAGGGCTGGGGCACGGCTCAGTTGTAAGAACCTTTGCTTCACTAGTTCAAGGCCCTGAGTTTAATCCCAAGTACTGCAAAAAAGACAGCCCAGTGTTTTGAATACTCTTAGAAGGTGAAAAGATACTGTAAGGTACAGGATGGCAAGTAAGCAAATGCCAAGATTCTGGGTGGCCTTGGGCACTAGGAAAATGCATGTTTTTCTGTGCACCTGCAGAGGCGTGTGTGTGCACCAGGCATCACACGCTGAGCCAGAGAGCACAGGCAAATGTGATGCAGGTGAAGCCACTGTGACTTTTATGTTGTTGCATGACCTTTAGAATTTCCTGTATTTAGCTGATGGCCAAGGAGCAGCAGTAAGTTCTTCAGTCCTTTTTTTCATAGCTCGGGGAGTACAGACAGTGAAGAAAGTACAGATTCTGAAGAAGAAGATGGAGCAAAACAAGACTTGTTTGAATCCAGTAGTGCTAATACAGAAGATAAAATGGAGGTGGACCTAAATGAACGTAAGTTGCCCCATCCATGCATGTTAGTTACGGTGGTTGAAATTGGGCATTTTTAAAGATAGGGAAAACAGTATCCTGCAGCTTCTGAGGGGTTAGGTGAGCTGAAACACACACTGTGTTATGAACCGCTTGCAGGCTTGAGGTTCCAGGACCAAGCCTCAGGGAAGGAGCAAGGTACTTTTTGATAATGTTGTCTGTGTGATTCTGGCGAGACATGGCATACTGGATGGTCCCCCCTCTGGCCAGGTGCTGTAGCAGAAGGGGAAAGACCAGAGATTATGCAGATGAAGAAGTAATTATGTCTTGTGGAATTGTAAATGGGGTACACCAGAGGAAGCAACTTAAAAGCTAAAGCAGTTTTAAATGATTTCTTCATAGTTTGCTTATAAACATAGCCCTAAAACTTGTTTATCTATAGTGTGTGTGTGCCCTGCTACTTATTAAGAACACTTGAGTGTGCTAACTTCTAAAAGTTTGGAAAAATGTGTGTGAAAGTACCATATGGGTTGATAAGGGACTTTTCCCCAAGCCTGACCAATTCCCTGACCCCTGGAAGGCCTTTATAACTTTGGTACCTCGTGGGACCACAGAACCAGTCAGGGCCCGAAGTAGTCATCCAGCAAATCCCCACACAATACAGAGCAACAAACTGGCGCCAGAGAAGAGAATTGCCCTCCAGCCCTTGCCTCCTCTTCCAACTTCCTGTCTTTGGACAGGACTGTCTTTCTTTTCATGATTTAGTTCAAGTCAGCATATCTGTCTGGTTCCTATGTACTGGGTGCCAGGCAGGTAACAGGAGCCACAGCCTGTGCCTCCAGGGGTTCAGTGCCTGCCATGGGAATAGAGCAGGGTTCTGAGAGAAGAGTGCTGGAGGGCTGAGAGGGGAGCCCAGCTCCACCACCATGGGACCACTAGGGATTAGTCCATTGGAAAAATAGCTCAGAACCCCTGTATGGCTCAAGAACAGGAAGAGATAGGTTGAGAGGTGGTAAGGCTGGAGGCCAAATCAAGAATTACATTCTAAAGGTTATAGGAAACCCCAAGGACTTGACAGTTATAGCAACAGTGTGAGAACTGGACTAAACATGTGCTGGGGACAGGAAAACTGTTGAGACAGTAGGAGGGCCATGAGGAAGAGTCCAGGTAATGGAGACAGGAGGAGGAGATGGTGTGGATACACCCTAGTCTTTGGGCTCTAGCGTCTGTGTGGTGTATTTTCTTTCAGGTGTGATTTGTAGTGTTTTGTACTGCATCCTCATTGTTATGCAGTAGGTCACTAGAACTTTCCCACCTGCCCATCCTGAGAATCAGCACCCACTTAACAACTCCCATTGCCCCCTGCCTCATCCTCGGGCATCGTTCTCCTCCGTTCTGATGCTATGAATCTGGCCACTCTCAAGCTCATGTAAGCAGAATCAAGCAGTATTTGTTAGTTTTGACTATCTCATTTCATTTGGCACATTGTCCTTAAGGTTCATCCATATTGTAACTGATAAAGGACTCCTCTTCATTGAGTACTCCAGAACTGCAATACTGTGATGGGGTTGGGGATGTGATAAGTGACTTACAGAAGAGACTATAAGCTTGGCTTGCTATGTACCACTGCTGCTGGCACTCAAGAACTGGGAGTGAAGACAGAGATGAGGGGAATCCCCTGGGTGACAGCCACATTTACCCTGACTCCCTTGGGCTCAGCTTAACAGGACACCAGCCTCCTGCTTCCCTGCTACTTGGGAAAGGCTTTCATCATCATATCCAAGGCACATGGGGTCAGCTAGAAGACGAGCCCTATCCTCCCTCCCAGTCTCCATGGCATCTCAAGTCTATGGCCCTCTCAGAGCAGTTTCTCATGTTCTACTGACTCTGGGGAGCTCACTGAGGAGGACTGACCCAGAGTGGTAACAGCAGAGAAGTCCTTTTAGTGTAGCCTGATCCAACTGTGACGTGGAGCTCTTTGAGCCTGGTGGGATGGCTCCAGAACTTTGCATGTGGTGAGCAGGCAAAGTGTCCATCATTGACCGTTTTGTATGTAGCTCTCTATTCTGGTGTAATATTTCTATTGGGAAAACTTCTTCTAGATGAAACTTGCTGAAAGGAAGCAGTTTTACAATGCCGTGGGCATTGTCTCCTTGACCTCCATGTGACCGTGCCCTCCCACTCCTACCAGTAATTCGTTAAATTGCTATTTGTTTTTTATCATTGCTAATCTGTTTTTGAACAAGCTTTCCCTTTTCTCCCTTTCTTTCTGTCTTTCTCGTCCATGGGACCTTGCCGTGTTGCCCACGCTGGCACTGAACTCCTGGGCTCAAGTGATCCTCCAGTCTCAGCCTCCCAAGTAGCGGGGGCTATGGGAGAGCACCCACATCCAGCATAAGAAAAAATATCTTGTGTTGCACTAAACTACTGAAATATTTTCCAGATGAAATTTTTCCCCTCATTTTAGCACCCAACTGGTCAGCCAATTTTGATGTCCCGATGGAGACTACCCATGGCACTCCATTAGACTCAGTGGGGTCTGATGTCTGGAGCACAGAAGAGCCAATGCCAACTAAAGAGACTGGCTGGGCTTCTTTTTCAGAGTTCACATCTTCCCTGAGGTGAGTAAGTATGTGCTGTCTTACAACCTTTTCACAGGACTCAGAGAGTAATGCATGTTCACCATTAGCATATGTTCTTCACCTTAACTTCCCTCTAAGTTGAATATAGTGCATTTTTAGTGTACTGCATTTAAATAAGATTTAAAATCAACATGAGGGAAATAGTGACACAGCTGTGCATCACAAGCAAAACCATTACCATCTTCCTTTGCTCTACTACAGACTGGGTAAAGGAGAGTTCTTGAAGAAAGTGCATCCAGTAGAATGGAGCAGATGGAAGCCCTGGGGCTTTTCCTGCTCTGTCATTGGAATAGGATTGAGAATAGGAATGAGCTCCTGATAGACACCTCTGTGTGGAATGTCACACACATTGCACACAGATTCTCAGATCACTAGATAATATGAGCTTATATTTCACTTGCAGCTAGTCTAGACTAAATTAAGAATGGTGACAGGTATGACTGCCAGTCTTGATATTTATGCTATTCTCTGACAGAAATCTGTCATTTCATAATTTTCCTCAATGATATCAGCATTTTAAGTATTAGTCATGTTTTATTTTTTCTATAAGAAAAACATCAATCTCCACCACCCCATTGGAAAGACTTTATTTCTCTCCCTGTTCTAACAAGCAGTGTTTTTAAACAGTCACTGGTGATGCAAGGTAGGACATTCGTTATGAGCCAACAGTCACCAGCTGAGGCCAAAGAGAGGCTAATGCCTGTACTCTCTGTAATAATTCTGTTGAGAGCATTGAGGAAATGTCTCTGAATATTTTGTTTCTTCAGCCCTGCTTAGTCCAGAGCAGCTAAGTATCATCTCTATGACTAGAGGATAAGATCCTTGGTTCCCTAAGAATGTTGTTGAAGCAGCTTACTTCCCTTGAACCCCATACACTGGGTGAATGGGGGTGTGTTACACATGGAAAGGGGGGTGGTGTTTGAAAGAGGAAGTAGTTATCTTCAGTCTCTTGATGTTTTAGTGTTTTCACAACACCAACAGTGGCCATTATTTAGAGGGCCAATGTCTCCAGGCAGTTTGGTTCAAGGTAACAAGGTAAATAAGGGCAGTTATAAAAATAGTTAACCCCATAGATAGAGCTGATACTGGGCCTTGTATCTCTTTGCCATTTAGGCCCTGGGATCCTGGTGATTACAGATAAGAGGTGGGGCATTTTAAACCTGCCTTTACAACCCTTGTTTAGAACTTTGCCCTCTGCCCTCACCTACTGCTCCATGCAGCTGCTTGCACTTACTCCCTGTGTCCCTGGAGTCTGTAACCCGACCACTCCTCACAGGTGCTAACGTCTCCCAAAGAAACCACACTAATTTCAAAAGACTGTGAATAGTGGGGTAACTGAAGGGCACTGCTAACATCTGAATTTTCTTTCTGTTTTCTGAAGCACAAAAGATTCTTTAAGGAGTAGTTCTCCAGTGGAAATGGAAACCAGCACTGAGCCCATGGATCCCCTGACTCCTGGTGTGGCTGCCATGGCAGCACAGCCTGAAGGTGAGTACAGTGCAAGCTGGCGTGCACACACAGGTATGAGAAACCCGACCTCACTCAGGCTTAGGGGCAAAAGGAGCCAGGCAAACCAGATGGTGGCTCTGATGTTCACAGTGCACCTGAGGAGAAGAAACAGTATGTATCATTCCAGAACCATAGTGTGGAGGTCCTAGAAGGAGAAGAGGTCCCTGGTTAGTCCCATCAATGTGCAGAAAAGGAGCCTAAGTACCCCCAAAGGACAATACCTTGGCCTGCAGTACCTAGAATGGGTAAAACCAGAACCAGACACCATACTCCAGCCTGTGCCCATTGCCTCCTAGTACTCGCTTTGCTGAAGCTCATGGCTGTCTAAGCCTCTTCCAGGCTGTCTGCCTAGATTTTCCCTCCTCATGTTCCTGAGCAGACGAAGTGGCCATGGTTGTCTGAATTTCAGGGGGCTGTGTTACCACTCAATGTTTGCATGTGTTCCTTCATTGCCCCTCAATGGTTTGCAACCTGATGAATAGAGTTTGGGAGGTGGGAGTAAGGGTAAAGGGGAGATGATGGGAGGTGGAAGGATGTGGAGGCAGGGTAATAAGGAAGGAACAAAATAGTGAGTCCTTGGACAAAGAAGGAGGCTATAGGCAAAGGCTACAGGAATAGGGTCTAGGAAAGGAAGAACACCAGTGACTTGTGGGGATTTTATTTGTCATTCAGCATTTGAAATAGAGGCTTCATTTTACTTCATTTGCAGCAGTTCTTTCATAGCTTCACTGGCCCCATTTGATGGGTAAGGAAATTGGGACACAGTTGGTTCCTTGCCCACAGATTGATTACACATCTAGGAATTGGGGGGTACTGGGTTCAAATCCAGAAGTCTGACTTCAGCATGAGCTTATAACCAACATACCATGTGGTTTCCCATTATAGAGCAAAGAAAAGATCCACCAGAATGGCACAAAGAATTGAAAAAATATGAAAACACTTGGATGCAACTGGTCCCCTCTGCCCTGGGCCATAGAGTGGCAGGAGCAGCTGAGTCTGCTGGGAGGAAGCTGCCTATGGAGTGAGCACAGCTGGGAAGGCTGTAGGGGACTTACCCTGATAATGACAATTAATGACCTAGCCCAGCACCCTAGTGAGCATGCAGCAACACCAAGCCATCTCACGCTTATTATTGTCACAAGCAGTAGATGTGACACGGGCAGAAGAGGGCCAACATTGTGTGACCATCAGCTGTGTGCTCTTTCCAGCACCAGGTAGCATGGCCATGGAAGCCAGCTCGGATGGGGAGGAGGATGCCGAGAGTACAGACAAGGTAACTGAGACCGTGATGAATGGCGGCATGAAGGAAACGCTCAGCCTCACTGTAGACGCCAAGACAGAAACTGCCGTCTTCAAAAGGTAACCAGGGCCAGGTCCTCCTGTGCCTTCAGGTTATCAGGAGGAAGGTGGAGAAAAACTTCAGACATGAACATTTTCAGTTTATTCAGATGAGTGTTTTTAGACATTTGCTTGCTATCTTTCTAACATGTCCATAAAACTCAGTAAACCTTAATGGAGAGAGAGTTGAGACCCCTGATGGGCTTTTTTCTGCGTATGTGTACATGCACTGAAGATTGTTTTGAATTGGCATGTTGTTACTCATGGTAGAAACTGAATTTTGTATAGAGCTCAGCCTATCAAAATCAAAGGCTTGGTGTCATACACGCAGAGCATTGTCTCCAGACATCATGTAGCCTGTTGTAATTCAGTGATAGAATGATAGCCTTAAAAACACCACGCTCAATACTTGGAAATTAGTGACTTCACTTGTAAATTCATGGATCAGTAAAGGAGTCAGAATGGAGATGTGAAGCTGTGAGAGGGTAGTAAAGAAGTTGTATCAAGACCATGGACTGCACATAAAGGAGTGATGCTCAGAGCTCCACTTCCCGCAGACCCTAGACCCTTTCCAAGATCACAGAAGGAATGCTCCCGGGTCACCACAAAACAAAACCACAGGACAGCAAAAGTTGATGTGTTGATCAACATTCTTCAGTTAAGAGCTAGCAAATCAAACCCAACAATTTATTCAGTCATGACACTTCAGCGAGGGATACACATTGGTGTGATGTGTGGTATTTATTCCTAAGACTGGAGCATTAGAAGTATTTATTTCACAAATACGAACCAGCCAGTGCAACCTGCAGACACAATGCTTCCTCAGCCCTGTGCCAGTGGTCTTAGCAAATACAGCATAACAAATAAAAGACAGATTTGAAGTAAATAACATTCCCTTGTTTGTAGACTTAGGATTTTCTGCATAGAAAATTGTAATTCAAAATGTAAATAAGTACTGGAATTAATAGGGAAGTTTAGCAAGTCTGGATACATAGAAAAAAATCATTTTGTCCTGTAAACCAATGCAAGATATTCTACCTGTGTCTGTCCTTAACAAAAATGTGAAACCTTATCTAAAATATATGAACTCTTTGAGAGAAGAATTTCAAGACTCAATATAAATAGAGGTTTGCTGTGTCATTAATGGAAAGACATCTTCGGCACTTCTCAACAAATTAATCTATAAAATTAAAAACTTCATCAAAATCCTAACAGTGAGTATCATAAAAATTGATTTTAATATTTATAAAGAAGACCAAAGAGAGCCAAGAAGAACCAAGATCATTTTTGAAGAGAAAAGGTGAGGGCTTCACCATACTAGCTCTCACAGACATTGCATCCTGGCAAAAGTTGAACTTGGAGACCCCTCCACTGCCTGAACGTGGCACATGTCAGATTCTTGCAAGTCAGGAAAGAGTGGACTAGTGAATAATGACTATCCACTTGAGAGGAGAGCATAATTGAGCCTCTTTTCTCAATATAAATATGAGAAGTATAACCACACAACTTTTAGAAGACAGCATAAGAAAATATCTTTGCAATTTGAGTGTACAGTTTCTGGGTTTTCTTAACTATAACAGGCCAACCCATAAAGGAAAATATTGATATGCTTATTCAGTTTCTAATATTGCAAAAAACACTAAAATTAAGTCAAGCCACAATCAACAAAGAACCAGTAGTCAGGATATGGATGTTGATATATCAGTAAGGAGAGGATCTAATTTTTTAAAGATAGGTGTTTAAAGCACCTCTCTGTGGAGGAAAACAAGTAACAAACCAAATCCACCTTAAGTAAGTGTGGCTTGTCAATTACAATGTAGTTAAATGCAGTGCTGTTCCATTCATATAAGTCTGTTAATTCCTGCCTTACAAAAAAGAGAACAAGATTATTTTATGAGGGCAATGAGGTCTGCATTCCGAAAGCAGATAAGGTTACAGAAAAACCTTATACAGGTATAAGGTATTTGCTAACTGGATCCAAAATTAAAACATTCACTTGGGGTTTATCCTGAAATGTAGGGTTGGTTCAATGTCAGAAAAATCTGTTGGTGTAATCTCCAGACATTAGACTCCAGACTGAAAGTTACTTGATTTTTCAATAGGGTTCTATACTTATACACAATTAAAACTCGGAGCCAACTAGTAACAGAAGTGAATTTCTTTAATTTGGTAAAAATTAAATCCAAAATGCAGTAGAAATTACACTTAACAAAGAAATTTTAGGTGCATCCACTTTGAGATAAGGGTTCACTTCACATACACAGGTAGTGCTGGGAGGGAAAGAAAGTGAGGTGGAGACAATGGTTAGGAGGAGAGCAGAGCAACTGTGACTTTGGCTATGACCAGCCACAGCCAACTCAGCAGCAATGCTTGTGCCTCACAAGAAGCCAGCAAAACTGGTGGACGAAAAAGTAGCCCTTCTCTACATCAGTGCTAAACAATTAGAACATATACTAAAAAGCAGGGCACCACTGACATCCAAAATATATCAGTCTATACAATTAGAAATTATGATGTAGGTCTGTAGAGAGAACTTGAAGGTGACCTGACCTGTGGAGACAGTGCCACAGAGACAGCTACCACCATCAGATTAGCCTTGAAGTTTAGTACAGTCCAAATCAAAATGTCAGTGGGGTTTTTGGAGGGAATTTGAAAAACATACCCTAAAACTTAAGTGGGAAAAATAAGGTTCCCAACTTGCTTAGAAAACCAAAGGGACAATTAAGTAACAGACCCAACTCTGCCAAGCATTCAGTCATGCTGCAGAAGTCATAGTCGTTTAAGCACTGTGATGTTAGCATACACAGGGCAAGGGCCAGTGTGATAGAAGAGAGAGAAATTGGGAGTGGGGGGAGGGGCTGGGGGTGTAGCTCAGTGGTGGAACACTTAAATAGCATGCACAAGACCCTAAGTCCCATCCCTCGCACCATTTAAAAAAAAAAAAACTGGCTCACATGGCAAAAGTGTAGCCAGAGCCTACCTAGTGTACATTCTAAAATAACTCCAGGAGGATTCAGAAGAGTTAAGAGCAAACGTGTACATGTGTCCTGCGCGCCAGGCCCTGTGCTCTCAACCCTTCCCCATATGTTTACTTATTTCTCTTGGAACCCTATAAGATGAGTATCATCCCCACCTTCCTGATGAGGAAACTGAGGCATCAGTTAACTGATATGGCCAAAGTCTTATGGTAATTAATAGAAGAAAATGTAGAATATATTTTTAACCTATGGGCAGAAAAGGGCTTCATTTCCAAAAAAAAATTTCAGGACGGGGCATAGTGGCTTACTCTTCCAACCCAGCTATTTGGGAGGCAGAAATAGGACTGTAGTCGAAGACAAAAGTGCAAGACCCTATCTGAAACAAACTAAAGCAAAAAGGACTGGGGACTTGGCTCAAGTGATAGGGCACTTGCCTAGCAAGTGAGAGGCCCTGAGTTCAGATCACAGCAGAGAAAGAGAATTCATAATCAGAAACTGTAATACAAAGAATAAGATTATATTGAAGTTAAGAATTTGTTTGATGAAATACCATAGACAAAATTAAGAGGCATATAGCTAACTTAAAAATATAGGACCTAAATCAATAAGAGACTTGACATTTGATGTTCAAGGAATTCCTATAAACCAGTAAGAAAAAAAAACCTGAATCAAAAATGGGCACAAGAACTAGGTGCTGGTGGCTCATACTTATAATCCTAGCTACTGGGAGGGCAGAGATCAGGAGGTTCAGAGCCTGGGGCAAATAGTAGTTGTGAGACCCTATCTCAAGAAAACCCATCACATAAAAGGGCTGGTGGAGTGGCTCAAGATATAGGCCCTGAGTTCAAACCCCAGTGCTGCCCCTCAAAATGGGTAAAAGATGGCAATTTACAGAAAAGTAAACCAAGTGAAGAGATGACTCCCACTCACACATCATCAGCAAGTGTGTTGGCAGCATAAACATTCCGTGTTTATTTGACCTGTTGGACGTCATGCTGAGTCCTGATGGGGAAATGGAGTTTCCAAAACCAGTGGGCAACTAGTGGATAAACTAGGTGGTTACTGTGGATAGTAGGAGGGGATTCTTTACTGAGAGAAAGGTGGATGGCCCAGTAAGAATTGGAGGCAAAGAAATGTGGATCTGGAGAAATCTGGGGCCAACTTGTTCCCCGTAGGCTCAAGACCAACCCTTCCACATAGAAAAAAGAAAGCTGGCCCAGAATTTTCCTCTTCTGGATGTGCAGCCCTAAGAAATGTCCAAACAGACTCATTAGGAGCCCTGGATGGTGATGTTAATTTCAGCATTGGGTTCAGAGGCCTGGAGTTGGGGTGTGCATTGCTTTGGGGAGCCAGGCATTGAGATAGGTGCATTCTGTGGGCGTAGTGCCACACTTAGCAGGAGCAAAGGTGCTAAGTCCAAAGAAACGACAGTTGAATGCTACATGGCTTGGAATACATGTATGCAAATGACTGTTTTACAAAAATTACAGTGATAAGCACATTGGATCATTTGCTTTCAGTGGAAGAGTTTAAAAATACAACAAGGTGGCCTGGGGGTGTGGCTCAAATGGTAGAATGCCTGACTAACAAGCACAAGGCCCTGAGTTCAAATCCTAGTACCGGGGATGGGGAGGGTGCTTGGGGACTGTAACGAGGGGTTGGAACATAGCTCAGTGATGTAGCATGTGCTTAGCATGCATGAGGCCCTGCAGAATAAACGAAGTAATGACTTAAGTAATTCAGATTGTTACCAAATCATTAGATTTTATTTTGTTTTCCTACTTACAAATTTCATGGAACCATCTGGAAGCCATCCAAGATACTGTCCTAAAATTAGCAAATCCAGGGCAAGACTTGGCTGTGAAAATGATGGGCCTGGGGGGAAGGCCATCTTTTGCCATTTCAATTGTGTGAAAGTAGGAATCCAGGCATACCTGGCAGAGTCAGGAAAGTATCTACTATTCTCTAACCAAGAACCACCCCTGTTCTATTCCCTGAAGTCCCCTGTGCCCTTGGGGTCAGCTTTCATCTGCTCTTCTCCTTCCACTTTTTCTTCATGGTGTGTGCACTTTGCACAGTTGATGGAGGGCATCTCGAGAAGTCTTTAAGTCTGGCTTGTGCAGCAGGGTTTCTTCAGACTGCGGTTTCCAGCCAGCAGTCAGGAGCAGTCCCTGAGAGCACAAGACTTACACCAGAGACTTGCTCCTTTAGATAGGCTCACTTGACACCTCCACCGACTGCGGCTTGTTCATGTGCAGTTGTCAGCATGTTCCCCTTCCTCATTTCTAGGAGAATTCTGACATCCTTGTACATTTCTTTTTCTGTTTTGCACACTTGGCCTCAGAGTGCTGAAATCCTATCGGTATGTGCGGTAATACAGGACCGTTCCTGCTCAGACGCAGCCACATTACATTGTCCCTCTCTCAGATTCCCGCCTGCGTGTGGCCCTTTCCTTTCATGGTTCCCCAGTCACCATCTGTGTGTTTGTGCTCCTTCTACCCTGAGCATGCTCAGCCCCAGGGCTTGCCCATGAGAGTCATGACTTCAGAGCCATTTGCATGTGACCTCATACTCTGGCACCTGGGTGCTGTTTCTGACATGCGATGTACTTGTCATCCTCTCTCCTGTAGTGAAGAAGGAAAACTGTCTACCTCTCAAGATGCTGCTTGTAAAGAAGCGGACAGCCCTGAGCCTGTAGAGGTGAAGTGTGCAGTCCCCCGGCTCCCCAGCAGCAGTCCCGAGCAGAGGTAATTGCCCTGCTACCCAGCATGCCCTCCCAGGCTTTGCCTGCCTTCACTTGGTGTCTTCTGGGTGGTGGAAGGGGAATGGGCAACCAGGAGATGGGGGCCTAGAGGGTCTTACAGCTGTGCCCAAGCCTTCGGCAGCATTCATTTCTCAGTCCTGACAGCAATTAGGGGCCCCAGCCTTGAGTGCCTGATCCAGAGGCTGGCTTCAAGGAGTTCCTGGGAAGGGAAGACTTGCTCAGGCCCCCAGTGCCCATGCTCTTGTGAGGCTGAGTTGCAAATTAATCAGCCCCTCCAGGATCGGAGTCCTCAGTGCCCCTGTATAACCTCCCGGCAGATCTCAGGGCCTGTTTTCCCATGGCCATGCCCACGTGGTACCAGGAAGCTTCCCTGAGGCCCTTTCCCAGCCCTTATATGAGTCCCTGTGGGGTTGATCTTGTCTTGATTAAGTGTGACAACCCCACTGCCAGAGCCGTGTGATTTGGAACGTGGTGTTTTCTTTCTAGTCACCTTTTGCTTAGACTGAGCCAGTGGTCTGAAGGGATAAGCCAAAGCGTCAGCCGCCGAGGGCCGGCAACCGGGCCATACACACGGCCTCGCAGGTAGAGCCAGGTGGCCTCAGGTGCACCGGAGCCCACGCCAGAAGATGAATGACGATTTGCCCCTGGACACAAGGAACTTTGTTCAGCACCTCCCAGTTATCTAAGATTGTATATTCCTTCCGTAAGGAATAAAGTGACCTTTAAAGCAATCTCATAGACGTTGTATTTTCCCGCTGGCCGTACTCCCCCAAAGGGTTCAGGCATCCTACAGAACACAACCAGCTGGAGCCAGCAGGGGGCCCTCTCTCCTCACGGATCTGAAAACTACTATTCATGGCATAGCAAGCCCAGTTTTTGTTCCTCTCCTAGAAATTCTAGCCAAAATGAGAACTTTGGTTTTGTGACCAAAATTGTTTTGCGTATTAAATTAATCATAATAACTATTTGAGCATGTTTGCTCTCGCAATGGCTTTGGGAGGGAAGGCAGGTGACCCTGGGGTTCGGGGCATCAGCCCAGCTGCAGCTGTGTTTCTGAGGGCTTGGGGAAACCTCTTTCCTGGGGTTTTCAGCATCTGTTTTTTAAATGGTCCTTTGTAGATCCCAGTCAGTTACATCGCCTCCCTCACTGCCTGTTAATTTAGTCTATGTAGAGGGCTGCCTAGGAGGCAGGACAGTAATCCTGGTCTGTCCCAGTTTGGAGCAGTTGCTCTGGCAGTTTGTTCTTGATTTCACTGACATACATGATACAGGAAACTGGGGTTGCTTTCTGAGCCTCTGCTTGCTCTGCTGTCTGGCTGGAAACACAAGGGAGGAAGAGCTCTGTCCTCCAGTCTGCAGGATGGGGTGGTGGAGGAAAAAGCTGAGCAGTGGAAGAGGAGAGGCAGCACTTGGGTCTTGCATTTATCCATCCATCCATCCTCTGCCCAGCTCGTCTAGAGCAATGGCCCCTGGCAGCTGGTGCAGAGCACTAGCAGGTGCCCAACAACTTAGGGCACATAAGGAACGTGTTCGGGAGGAGGCAGTGAGGCTGAGTGCAGGAGTAAGGGCCAGCAGCGCACATTAGATGGTGGGTGAAGCCTCTCTGGACAGGTGGTACTGAGCTGGTGTGAGGGGAAGTGGAAAATAAGTGTTCTGATGCTTCCCATTTGGGTTTTAAGCCATTTGTGGCAGTATAGAAGATTGAAGACCGACAGTCTTCCCCAAATGCTTCCTACAACACTCTGCTGCTACAGTCCTATGGATACCGAGCACACTGTTTGCTATGAACTGGAAGATTTTCATGGCCAAAAGATCTCGCTTCACTGCTGCTCACTCTGCTGCTGTCTGTGTCAGCCAGAGTGCAAGTGCTTTGCGTACACTATGCACTTAACAAGGCCATGGGTTGGAGGGGTTAGTGTGTGTCCCCGCCCCCATCCTTTTGCAGAGGAGAAAATGGAGCTAAGAGGGGTTAAGATATTTGCTTAGAAGCACACAGTTTGTGAATGGCGAAGGCAGGGTCCGCACGCAGTTCTGTCTGGTTCCAGAACTCTTAGTCCCTGTGTCTGATAGACTAAAGCACTATCATGTTAAAGTAGAGTGTAGCGTGTATGGAGCAGACTTCTCGCCTCGGTTCCTGTGATAACTGGCAGGGATCAGGTATGAAAGCAGTCTAGTCGAGTTTTTGAATGCTAGTAAAAAGCACTTGTATACTTCCCAGCCACAGCTACAAGCACCCCTTCCCGAGACTACTTTTGTCACTTTGTTTATATACTGTCCCACCTTTTCTTCCTTTCCAATTTTCAGCCTGACATTTGCTTTGTGGGAATATATTCAAGTATTTTCAACATTTGGTCCTTCCCCACCCACCTTTCCCAGTAGCACACTCCTGCTTTTTGAGTAAATTTTACGTGGGTTCCACTGAACGGGGCAAATGAAAGTTTTCTGAAGGAACGGAGCCTAGCAAGGCTTCTGCTACTCTGTAGTCCTTGCTAATCAGCGTTTTCTGCCCTGGGAGCTTGGGGTAGGGAGGGAAGGAGAGAAGTTCATTCTCCCCTCTCTGTTTCAAGTGCCTCAGGTGTCTGTCTCTTACTCTGTAGGACTGAGCAGCCAAATGTGCCAGGTGACACATCAGTCAATGGCCCTGTATGATGAGTGATGTTTGCTGCTGCTGACTGAGGACTGCAGGCCACCACCCAGAGGCTCTGGAGGGGTCATCTGGAGCCACTAAACCGCCACTGCTGCACTCACTCTGCAAGGGATCAGGACCAGCAACCTTTATATTCTAGATTCTAAGACATTGTACAGAGAAATTCAGAAGTGTAAAAATATTGCACATTGACAAATACCAAGAATTTTTGCGTATGTTTATATTGTACTGTTGGAAATAATGGGTAGCCTGTGAAATAAGATCTTGCCGCCCGTGTAAGAATAGTGGTAATACTAGAGTTAAGATGGCTGCAAGGCTAGTTTTATAAAAGTGAACACAGAGCTATGGTATTTGAAACTCTTTGACAATGATTAGTGTGACCAAAGTATTAGGCAGTTTTCATACCCTCACCTTGTACAAAATTCTGAACTCGCTTTTCTTCCAGGCTTGGCGAGGAGTTGCAGAGCTGAGCTGCTCTGTGCGTGTCATTTTGGTGGTTCTAACTTACAAAAGTGATTTTGAATAAGAAATATTGGGTGTTCTTTTTATAACCAGTTTTTGATTGGTAATTGTTTTCTGTATTGTTTAAAACGGATCAAAAATGTAAGTCTCTTGGTAGAGATTAAGTATTTATTGCTACGGCTTAGCTGATAAATTGATGTTATTGTAAAGCCATATGTTCTGTTAAAGTCTTGTTTGCTTGAAACCGATTCTTCCTACAGGTGAAACACTAGAACATTGGAGTGGACATGGCTGTGGTTTGGGCTTTATTTTGTTTTTTGTTTGGTTTTGATAGTTCATCTGCCTTTTAACCCATTCACCAAAATTTACCTTGTTTAACAAGCATCACCAACGACCGTTTCAGAGTGGTCTTCACACTTCCCTCCCTAAATCACTTGAGGCAGGTCGGCTGAGAAAAGCTCGTGCTGCAAATGGAATTGGAGTGTGTTCACCTGCGGCTGGTGTTTTAAAGCTAGAAATCAAAATCCAGCCCTCCGCATGTTCCTCGTCTGACTGTACCGTGTGAGGTTTTCACTCGTAAATTCTAAACCAGTGTATTTTTTTTAGAGCTGGTTTGTGTATATATATAGTGATGATGGATACTAATTCAATGTAATTTATAATTTTCTATGTCAATATAAAAATACATCACAGCCTTCTCCAACAGCTGAAGCAATATTACTGCATATTGCCGTACCGTCTGGTGAAAGGGTTAGATCACTTCACCTCTTGCACTTTTAGATGCAAATCAGTTTTTCATTTCTGTAATAGAAAATTATTCACGTATTTTTACATTGTTTGTTTTTCCTGACCAGTATTTAAAACCAAAAGGATATTCTGAAAAATGGCCAACGAATTTTTTAGAAACAGCATCCCAAGCAGCGTGCCTAAACATTACATTGCATATGGAAATAAAAAAATCAAATGTGTGGTGCCTTATTCCTTATTTCCCATCCACTCCAGGTAGTGAGTGCAGAAACTTCTGAAGCCACCAGGGCACAGGAACCGGGGCCCACAGGGCCTGGGCACGCCCCTCAGCACCCTCTTTCTGTTGGGAGTGCCTCCCAGGAGACTGTCCTCATGCAATTCTCCTCTAGGACCTGGCACTTTCAGAGGATGGGGCTCTTGCTGCTTGACTCAGGGATACCTGACCCGCAGGGCCTCAGATTGCTGATGGACGGTGTGCTTGCCTCACCTGGTAGCTAGCCCTGCCGGCCATGGCCAAGACTTGGCCCCTGTGGTGGCCCACCTGCCTCCACCCTTTGGATCTGGTTGGCCTCTCCATCCCACCCAAGGTGACACCATGTCTCACTTTGCCCCGCTTTCTGCTAGGAATGAGTATTTGGGGGTTGCCTTTGGGGCAGGAGTTGGGTTTGCTCATTGAAGGTGACAGGGAAAGGACGTGAGGATGGGAAGAAGCAGGCCTGTCGGCTGAAGGCTGCCAGCCCGCCACAGTGAGTTCCCACTCCTTTAGTCGTAATTGCTGTGTACTGGCCATATGAATTGCAAGACTAACGGATGTCTACCATACCTGTATTAAAAATAACAAAAATAAAGCCTGATTCTTTGTTTCTATAGATCTCTTGTACCTTTCATGGTTTAGAAGCCAGACATGGTGCAGGGCTGAGCAAGTGAACCACCTCTGGCTTTAAGGGCTTTTCCTGAGTTCTGTAATCCAGCTGCTGCAGAAAGGCCCAGCTTTGCCAAGAGACTGATATCTGCAGCCCCTGGGGTCATCTCCCCACTGGCTCTGCCCCACGCTCCTGGAGCGATCAGGGCCTGCCTGACACAAGTGTTCCATACGTGGTCGCTGCAGGTACTGCCAGCAGCTCCCACCTGGAGACACACTGGTCTTAGTGTATCACCTCCCAATGTTGCACTCTCTTACCTTCAGATAGCTCTGTAGTGACACCATTTCTCAGGTATTTCATCATTCTTTAGACATGCCAAGTTAGGAGGGGTGGTACACATGTGTAATCCCAGCACTTAGCAGATTGAAGCAGGAGGATCACAAGTTACAGGTCAGCCCGGGCTACCAATCAAGACCGTCTTAAAAGAAAATACATGATTCTGTATTATAACTAATTTCTCTCCTTCCACCTAATTACTTTAAAGAAAAAAGTCCCCCAGAGTTTTGCTGCTCTGGCAGGTCCTCTGCTCAGCCTCCCCACTGGGCACAGTCCTCAGCTCACCTGGACTGCAAGCATCTCATGGTAGGCAACTGCTCAGTCAAGGGCCCAGGCTCCAGAGCCAGGCTTGTGTGCACAGCCCATGCTGGCTCGTGTGGTGTGGCTGAGGTGAGTTAGTTTTCTTTCTATGCTGCTTTTGCTACCAGATGAGGAATACAAAGGTTGGGTAGAATAGTTCATGTCTTAAAAGCAAATGTATAATAAGTGTTAGCTGTTAACTCTGTTCTCAAGCCCAGAATGTCCACTGCTAACCTTCCTGAATACTCAATTTGACGTTACTTTATTTAAAACCTTTATGTCCAGAAAAATCTGTCTTCCTCGTGTCAGGTGGATTTAGTTGTCCTATGCCAGGGGCCGGCTATACCCCATGTCCCAAATATTTACAGATAAAACTGGATGTTTGCATGGAAATGAACCTTGATTCCTACTAAACAAGAAATCCAAAATGGCCTAGCAAGCATGAGGCTCTGAGTTCAAACCCCAGTACCACTAAAACCAAAACAGACCATAGCTCTAAACATAAGTACTTAAGCACTGAAGTGCCTACAAGGGCTTCTTAGCGCAGAAACCATCAAA